TTTTTTTTTTTTTTTTGATTAAGTGCATACAAGAATCATACTGTGGTCTCCATGTCAACATATTGATAATGATAATCAGCATCAGACATATGAATAGAACCTCAATCCGCCGTCAAAAAATAGACTCCACATCAACAATCCATGATAATCAGAAACATATAGCGTTTCTTAGAGAAGCATTTCTGGATATAGGGGCAGAATGATGCCTCGCACAATGTAAAACCACCTCCTAACCCAGAATAAGGAAAAGAAAATGAAAGAAAAAAAAAGGAAAAAAGAAAGAAAGAACAAAGAACAAGGCTATAGACCCAATTACATCAGTGGCATGTGTGAAAAAAAATTCACATGAGGAAAAAGAAAATCAGTCATTGCATCCAACTACAGGAGGCCCAAAATTTGACTTCCTTTCCTGACTTCTGTGAATTGAGTCCTTGGAACTGTTACAACTTTTTCTCTTCTTAATTCCTGCTCCTCCTGAGGTGAAAATTGGCTTTTGCTTATTCTACCTCTCTCTATCTCAGGTTATCAGCTGAACATTGCATTGATATATACATTGTATTGAAAAGTCATTTGCTATATACAGACATTGTATTGAAAAGTTAATCGAAATCAAGAAACTCCATTCTCTTTCTCATGGACCGCTTTATTTCTGTAGCTTCCTTTTCCGCTTTCTGAGCCTGAAGAAGAAGAAAAAAGAAAAAAAAAACAATTAAATAACAAAAATGGCAAGGAAAGAAAGGAGGATTAAACTCCCTAGTTAAGCGTTAATGGCGATCGCGGAAGTGACTCTTACCCTCTTTATCTCCGATGTATCAACCCGAGTCATACATCGAGGAAGCTCTTGATTATTCAAGTCCTGTAAAAATGGTAGTAAAGTTTAGACAATGGTGTTCTAAACTTCCGAATGCAGAATAAGAGTTCCAGAAATCTCACAAGATAACAAATAGAGTATTTATACCAGTTCTCCAATTACCACAACATGTTCTCCACGAATTACATATAGACCTAGTGGTATGTCACAGTAAAGATCACCAACAATGA